GGTGGGCTCGGGTTGAATAGATTCGATCGAAACGATTCGTATTCCAGTTTCACGAGACGATGTTGTCATCGTTCGCGGCGGTGATAAGATCGAAAGAGACGAGATAACGAATCCGAGGGATAGAAACTAAACTAAACTAAACGAAACGAAACGAAACGAAACGGAACGAAACGAAACGAAACGAAACGAGCGTTTCTAAGGTTCGCGTGATTTCTCGTGATTTTGCGCGTCTCGTCGGCGAGCAGTGACCGCGACGGCGTAAATTCTCTCGGACGATAAAACGCGATCCTAGTTTTCAGGGAAGGAAGGAGGAAGAGGAGGAGAGGGAAAGGAGGACGCGGGCTCGCTCGACCCGACGGAGGCATGCACGCCGCTCTCCATGCTTTTCGCCACGGCGGATATTTTCGGAGGCGCGATCGTGCGCCGTGCTGTCGACGTCACCGGAGAAAGAAAGACACTGACCTTTCCACATTACGATTCCTTTCCGACATTGCGTTTACGCAACGACGCGCTCTGTCGGCCGAGGGCGAGAGACCAACCGGGAGAAACCAAGTCGCGCGGTCGTTCGTTAAACTCTCGACCGGCTGGTGAATGACGGTCATTGTGCCATCAAACTCCTTTATCGATTCGAGAATCTCCTCTGGGTCGAGAGGGCCCTCTTCGACGATCGAACGTCGCCTCTTCTCTCCTACCTGGATACGAATCCCCGTCTCGACCCATTTCTCTCCTACGTTCCCACAACTCCTGTTTCTCTGTCTATCGAAATACCAAAATTTCTCATCTCAACCGCGTAACGCGTTCGCGATGTCGATATAATAAATAAAATGAGTAACGCGATACGAACGAAATTTTTCAAACTCGAAAGTTTATTACGAAACGTAAGGAAGAAGGCGGTACCTCCGGTGGTGGTTTGGAAAGGAACAGCTTGCAAGTTTTTGACAATTTTTCTTCGGGAGTCGTATCGCGTGCTACATCGATCCAGAGATCTATGTGGCGATAGGATCGCGAGGCCAAGTTCTTGCGGATCACGCTACGTAGATTATATTGTCCTTGCAGGTGGCTCCTCCGTTCGGAGGTGCACCAAGGCTTGGACGATGCTCGCACATACACGTATCCACGCGTTTCCATCCACTCGACCAAGCCATTCTCTCTCTCTCCCTCTCTCTCCTCCCGTATCCGCTCCACTCTTATTTTCCTACACACCGTTTCGCCAATGTATCGTCTCTCTTTCTCTCTCTCATTCTCCACCGAGCCTTTCTCCCTTCCTCCTTTTACGCGTACTATTTACCAGCGAAGTGCACGTTTCACTCTCAGGATTTCTTGTCCACTTTACCGCCGCTCTTTTTCCTACATTCGTCCCCCTTCCCCATTTCCTCTAGGTTTCCCGACCGCCGAAACATCTGTTCTCCGCGACCGAGATTAAACACCGGGAGCAGCATTAGATATTATCGAAGCGGCAAAACGACGCTCGTCGAAACTTTTCGAAACTTTCGTCAATTTCTCGATCGTTTCTTTTTTCCCATATCGAAACCAATGCCAGCACGTGAACAAATTTTCAAAGCAACGGCGCTAGTGTCGTCCGACAAAGTTCTCGCAACACCGTTTAGCTTCTTTCGACAAGAGACAAAGCCTTTTGCGTAGCTGTTTCTCGAATCGTTCGATCGCAATGGACTTCTTGAGAACAACTTGCTGTTATCCAATTATAGAAACTAATCGAACAAATTGCGCCTTCTTTTCCCATTGCTTCCACTTATCGAAAAATTACTTCAACTATTACTATTACTTCAACTATTCCATCGTTCTTTCCGCCCTTTTATTCCTCGAACCAGACGAACATCAGACGTGTCCCCTCTCGTCGCGCATCCACTTGTTTAGCCTTTCTCTCTCTCTCTCTCTCTCTCTCATGTTCTTTAATTCCCTGTGTCGCGGCCCCTNCCCCTTCGCAGATTGTTCGTCACCCCTAAGTTCATCCGATGTCTTCCTCGGTTGTCGCTGAAACATTGTCCATCGTCCTTTTTTCTGCTAAATCGCTTCATCCCTCTCTATCCTGACCCCCGCGCACCCCTCCAGACCCGAATTCTGTCCCGTTCCCCAACGCGCGCCTCTTCACAGCTATCCTCGTCCCACTCGTGTTAACCTCTTAGAATTCCGCTTCGTGGCTCTTCGTCCCTCTTCGGGAAATCCATCCTTCTAATTCCTCCGCGTCCTTCGCTCTCCTTCCTTTCTCGATCCTTCTATCGCTCGCTTTCTCGCTCCTTTCTTCGCTTCTCTCTTTCTTCTTCTCTCTCTCTCTCTCTCATTTTCCTCTCGCCGCTCACTCTCGCTAGTCACCACAACGAAGTTTCTCTTTCCCTCTTTATTCTCGTTCCCCTCGTATCTTTCAGCTCCATTCGCCCTTTCTCGCTCGCGCACCGTACCTTCCTCTCCCTTCCCCCTAGCTCGGGCCGCGTTCCTCGCGCGCGCTTTCTCTCTCTCTCTCTTTCTCCTCTCCCCCCTCTCCCCCCCCCCTAGCTCGGGCCGCGTTCCTCGCGCGCGCTTTCTCTCTCTCTCTCTTTCTCCTCTCCCACCTCTCCCCTCCCGTCCTTCTCTCTGTCTCGCCCTCCGACGTTGCCTCTCTTCCCCTTCCTTATCAGCAGGCCGTAGGCTTCGAAGCATCGGGCAGCGATGGGAATGATGCCCTCGCACACAGTTTTGCTCGTATCGATTGCGATTCCGATCATGCCCATTACCACTCGATAATATCCTCGTACGATGTGAATTTTTTTCCTCTCCCCTCTCCCCCACCCTCTTCTCTCTTCGCGATCTTCTTAGGCGATCGATCGCGCGCCAACTTCTCTCCCGCTTTTAATTTCTCGATGCTATCTTTACTTAGGGATCTTCGGTTCGTAATCGCCGTTTCTAGCGTGACTAAAGTTATTATTCATTCCTTAAAGTGCACCAAAGAGCTTCGAGGTTGCAAAACAAGGCTACGGATTAATCATGCATTCCCCGACGTTCCCCGTTTGGTCGAAGGTTTCCGAACCTTATTTGTATCGGTCCCATCGCTAGCGCATGCGCGTCCACACAAACGCACACGTTTTCTCGGTCCGTCTCTGTCGGTCGCAGGTCGGGGAAAATGGTATTCGCGCAACTGTCTCCTTCCTCGTCTCTATCGAGGAACCGTTCTCTATCCTCGTCGAACGTACGACGGCGGAAATGCATGCTCACCTAAATACCTCGAGTTATATTCACAACTAGAACCGACCGCGCGGACAAGCAACGATACCGCGGTTGCTCGTTTTAATTTCGAACGATCGAAATACTTCTAAAATCTACGAAAACCATCGAAAAAATTCTCCCGATGAACGATACGATGTTTCGATCTCCGTTCTTCTCTTATTCTCTGGAAAAAATATTCGACGATTTTTTCTTCTCTCTCTCTTCCGAATTTTTCTCGTTACATTTCCCGTCGCTTTGTGAAAGCGAATTCTCCACCTCGATATAAATTTTTTTCTCGAACACGATGAAATCTAATGTTGGACGAGGAGAAGGAGGAATCGGGCGTAGGAAAGGATAATTTTTCGATCACGGCTCGAGGAGGCATGACGCGTCGGGAGATGGATGTTCGATGGGCAGCAGCGTTGCGTAACTGACCTACGCCCAATCCGCTGATCCTCGGTACGGTCACGCGAACGCACGCACAATACCGGCACACGGGCTCTCCGTCCCTCCACCGCTCGGCCCATTGCGAGAGCGCGGAAGGGTGCGGTAGGGGTCGCCCCCTGCTAGTAGTGCTCGATTACGTAATTTTCCCGGGGAAAAGAATTTCTTTAGGACGAAAAACGACTCTCGTGGAGCATCCACTTTTGGATGGATGGAAATAAAAGTTGATCCTACCCTTTGAACTGACTACCTCTCGCCCACTTCTCGTTTCCCGAGGATCAAGTCGATCGACACCCCTTTTCCAGCCATCGTCTTAAAAGAAGGGAACGTTAATCCGTCTCGAGGCATCGATACCGTTCAGCTTCTTAAGAGATCGCGAAAAGGGATCAGGAAAGGGAAAAAAGTTTAAAAGAGAGAGGGGACAGCGGAGGAATTAATTGCCGCGAATCGACTCGACTTCGACTTCGACTTCCGGCAACTTGGAGGGGTCAAGGTTCGACGTGCCGGTCGGCTCACCCGGTTTAAAAATAACGGTTTCGTCGGCTTCCACTTCCGTCCACGGAACGATGTTGTCCGTGCTAAATTTAAAAGATTTCGCGATCATCCAATAACGTTACATTTGATATCGAATCGATATCAGAGATTTCGATCTCCTAGTTGACGACGAAATTGAACGTATATAAGTCGAATATAAATCGTGGATAAAATACGTGTAAGTAAACACGTGCGCCGCTAATGAAGCGACCATTCGAATGATAATGGAACGCGCTTATAAACCGCGAACAGAGGCGGCGTAATTTTAACTGGCTATGTTTGAATGCCGGCTCAACAGCTGGCCGGCTTTGAAAACAATCCACTGCCCGCCGCGGAGGGTAATTTAATCGTCATTATTGCGACCAATAAACAACGATTCTGGCATCCCGACGCGATACCTAACGGCTCTGCCTCGAGTGGACGCCGCTCGAGTGGATATTTCAACGTTCGCGCGTCGGAATATAATAACATCGCCAAGACTCACGACTCGATCGATTCAAATGGAAAATGTTTGGCCCCTTTCAATCGCCTCGCCCGAATCGGTCGTCGACTCTCTCTCTCTCTCTCTCTCTCGCTCTCTCGGCCGGGGAGGAATCGCGACCGTGAATCGTGGGAAACGACTATATATATATATATAGAAAGAGAGAGAGAGAGAGAGGTCGATATCCAGTGTCGAATCGAACGGTTGTTTTTAATTGCCCGTTTAACCGACTACAACCGTCGTTTAATCGCGTCTGACGATCTAAAATCAGATTTACGACACCGTATCCGGTGGACGGATGTCGCATCGATCCGGCTATTTCGGATCCGTGTGATAATTTTCCTTCAACGGGGAAATTCAACACCGTTCAAACTTCGGAAAACTCAAGGAAATATAATATAAGGCGAATTCGTGGAAACGTTTCTCACGTTTACGGTTTTTACGTTAATTCGGGAAAACCTCGACTGTATATATACATATATATATATATATATATATTTGCAAGCATAGGCGAGTCGTACACGTGGCGAGAAAGGAAAACTTATACACGTGAGGTGCGCCGATTAACTCACGGCTGTTAACCGGCCGTGTTCCGTATCGCGATATTAATCTCTTTAATAGCGTTACATCTACTATACCGCGTAGAGAGGCCGCGGACGTATTAATAGCTTCCTACAACAGCATCGTTTCGCGTTTATCGTTCTTTCTCCTCGCCCTTTCCGGATCGTAAACGGCTCCCCTCGACACCTCGTATTTTTCCCACGTTGAGAAGAAAGCGGCGTTTTGCCACCGTTGCGGTACCGTTGTGCTACGCACGGACCGAGATCGGGTCGAGCCGCGGATCGAGCGGCGGAGGAGTGGGGGGAGGGGGGGAAGAGAGGGCGCTGCTTTCGCGGCGATAAAATTCGTCCAATCCTTTTCTAATCTTCTCCCGCTAGAGGGAGGGACGGACACACGACAATCGGGTGGGGAGGAGAGGGTGGATGTTGAACGGTGACTCGCGAACGCGAACCGTGTAATATTAGTCGGGATAGAGAGAGGTCGTCGACACGGATTATATACATCGCACGTTTCGAGAGCTTACTCTGCGTTTACACGCGTTTACGCGCGAAGCGGTCCGCATTTAGTTAGATCTCTAAATTATCCCTACCGTACAGCTCCAATCCGCCGCCTAACAATCGGGACCTGACAGTTTAGTGGGCCGTTTCTCAACCGTCTTCCC